TAATCGTTATTCGTTCCGAGGGCGCACTTTCCGGAGCATATAATAAACATCTACTCCATTCTTTCTCTCTCTCTCTCTCTCTCTTAATAAATAGCGATATTTATCTATCTATCTCTATTTATACGGCATTATTCCTTCTGCTTGCTGCGGATGACGGACAATCGGAAAGATTCTGTCTTGTATCGTGCACCTGGACATCAACATACCAAGTTTCTCCGAGTTTCGTTTCCTCGATTCGACATTTTTTCCGCTTAAAAACCGGCAGTCTTTCGCGTCTCCAAGTAGAACGTAGAAAGTGCCGGTCGATGCTGAAAAGCGCGAATCGCAAACGATTTCTCCGCGACCGGCACCTCGCCAGTACGCTGATAGTAGTAGACATAGCTCGAAGGAGCAATTAGCTCCAAAAAGATCGGTCGAGAAATTATTGAGAGAGAGAGAGAGAGAATAAAAATTTACGCGTGTCTAGATTTAATAAAGTTGATATAATTATATAAGAGGATATGAGAGCCTAGCAGGATGACGTATGTTAATTATTCTTCGATTATTATATAATAAATGATACAATATATGATACATTGTAATATTATGTCAACTGAGATGAAAATTTACAATTATTACGAGTGGAGAAACGTTGTTGAAAAAAAAATCCAAGTATTATAATACCATCGGGATAGATTGTTTGTTATGTAAAGTTAGCTAGTTTGCTAATCAAATTGTTTTGTTCATTCATACAATAATAGAAGAATAATTAACGCATGTCTTATTGATAGGCTCACACACACACACACACACACACACACACAGCGCCCTTTATTTAATTATATTAATTTCAATTATTTCTAATAGAGTCGTTACATATAATACTAATTGTTAATAAAGTTGACTTAATAAAATTGTAGGTCGCGTATTGTGCAAAAGTTGCGAACTTACGAGCGAGAATTAAACGGAAAATTGTAGATTATTTCAAGTTTCACGAGGAGCAAAGTTTATTGATTTGTCGCGATTCCAAGGATTTATTAATGAGCCGAACAAGTGCGAGGGATATTCGGCGAAAATATTATTTCCGGCAACTTCGTCGCCAATGATATGCAGTGCAATCAAAGTACGTAACAAATGTGACGTATATCTTATCTTTATCACACGACTCGGCAAATATTTATCGTGCCGAGAGTAGCCCGAGTATTAAGAATGAGGAATCATCTGTTTAGTTTCTGCGTACTATTTTGCGTTGCGACCGGCCAAACTGAAAGCTCGAAGAAGTCGCGGAAAATCGTTCAGCTTCTCATCGCGCATGAAGCCCAATATAGACGTCGTTAATCGCAAGATGAGCAATCAATGTATTTCTCCACACATCTCGAATAATGTCGAATAATGCCAAGTTTTCACAGATTACGACAAAGTTAAAGCTAAAAGTGAAATGTGGCGAGTGTAAACAATCGAACACTATTGTCGAACAAGACGTGTTCAGGGCATTCCTCTCGTAGCATCTGTGGCAGTGTTCGCGATGCGGCACATTCCGAGGAAGAAAGGTGGTAAGGGAGGAGAATCCTCCGCCACATCCTTCAGTGCGCGGGGCGGAGGGGGTGAGCGAGCGAGAGAATCGCAGAGGGACCGGTGTGCCAAACAGGTGATGTATATGGGGTTTCGGGTGAGGGGATCGGGGGAGGGTAAGAGGGAGAGAACGGGCGAGCAAGTAGCGTTGCGCGGGAGGAGAGCTCGCAACTAGCGGAACGGAGTGGAATGACGAACCAGCGGGCAAAGAAGAGAGAACGGTCGAGCGAACGTGCGAACGTGCGAGCGAGCGAGCGAGCGAGCGAGCCAGCCAACGGGGACCAGAAAGGAGAGCGGAAGAAGGGGGAGAGAGCCGTGTGAGAGACCGAGAGGGAAAATCCGGTTGCCTGGCGACGAGCCATCTAGTTCGATCCCAGCCAGCCATCCGACCAGCCACCCTCCTCTGGTCTCTCCTCGTCATCGTTGTCGTGGTCGTCGTCGTTGTCGCAAGAGCGACGATAGAGCGCCGTGCCGAGAGAAACGGTGTTCCGTTCGTTTCTATTCCGTTTTATTCTGTCGCCGGCTCCGGTTTTCTTTCCGAGAGCTTGAGAGTCGCCATCGGAAGAGAAAAAAAATATATATATATACATATATATATATATAGTGAGAGAGAGGGGGGGGAGGGGAGAGAGAAAGAGAAGGAATTCTTCTTTCTCCATCTCTCTTAGGGATTTTCTCGCCGTTGATCGCGTGGGATGCGTGAGATACCATTGTTAGCGCCTCCGTTTCCGATCCACGGCGAGCTCTGGAAGAGTCAGAAAAACTTTGTCTTGGCAAGCAACTCTCTCTCTCTCTCTCCGTGTCGTGAGACGTCGTGAGCACGGGGCAATTCGATATTCTGGACGTGGTGGTCGTGCGTCGTCGGTGTGTAAATTTCCGACGCAGCGACATTTCCATAGGACGTTTCGCGTCCAGAATTATCCGATTGATCTCTTCTGTGGTGCGAGTGTGTGTGTGCGCTTTATCGGTGTCTGTCTGTCACCTCGACGTGACAGCGTGGGAAATTGTGAGTATTGTGAGTACGCCCTCGCTCTTTCTCTCTCTTCCTCTCTCTCTCTCTCTCTCTCTCTCTCTCTCTCTCTCTCTCGCCTCTCTCGCCTCTCTCTCGCCTTTCCCTCCGGCGAGAGGGAAAGAAAGAGGGACCGTGGTGGCAAGTGTGTTCTCCAAGGACGTCGTCCTAGCGCATCTCTCTGGGCTGCGCGCACAGGTGCTGTCCTTCGCCTGTCCTAACAAAGCGGGAGGAACTGCGCCTGGCGTCGTTTTTGCCACAAGAAAATTATAACAGCAATATTCTCGCACGGAGAAGAATAGACAGGAATCGTGGTGCGTTCCTCGAATGATTCTCTCCCGAGAAGTGAAGGCAAAACGAAATTAGTTACATATACACAAATAATATTGATCTACTCGGAATAGAAACGTATAAAATAACGTGTTGTGTTAAATGAAGACAAATATAAATGTCTAGCAACATTTATAACGTCGAAAGCACTATATCAAATTGTGTAACTAGATATGCCATTTTGTCACTAATTAGTCCAATTTTCATAGGCGAAGGATCGCCACAGCTATAAAAGGAAAGAGAATAAGATATTCATTAAAGAAGAAAATAAAATTGATAATTACGAAGATATCTAAATCAATTGCAGAAATACGAGGCAAAGGAGGGAGATTGAATTGTTAAAGGGAAGGTAAGGGTAAAAGACGTCATTATTGTTTGTGGGATTAATCCGTAGAGAGAAATTAAGAATAGGCAGGACGAGGAAGAGATATGAAAGAAATATATCGATTATAGGGAAGAGTTCACGAAGGTAATCTTTCCTGGTGAAACCACGACGATTCGCTGAAAGTGCGCGAGGGACGATAAGGAGTGGAAACGAGGAAGATGAGTCTGGATCATCGAGGTTCGCGGGATCGTGCAGGCAGGCTGTTTCTCGTCGTGAGAATGACAGCGATGAAGGTGGCCTTCGATAGAACGGCGTCGTACGGTTCAACGACTTAGAGCTGTGTTTATAGAGCTCTACGACTTACGCACGAGATTCGCGCCTAATTGGCTGCCCCTTTCCGGAACGTGGCGTAATACGTCGCCGGATATCGGACATCGATGGCGATATAAAACTTATCTTGACTGAACAACGAAGAGAGGTCACCTGTTTCTTTTCTTAGCATGTAAATCCGAAAACGAATCGAAATAAAAGAGAGTACTTTCTCGTCGCGGGAAATTGAATTCGTAGCGAATACGATCCTTTGAATGATATGGCGACTTCTACAGCAGAATCCATGGCAGAGCGACGACTATCCATCGAAATCTACATTATTCGAAATTAAAATGCGAGATTTGCCTTTGACTGGCATTCGCCGTGCATTTGTGTGCCATCGCGATTCACGATAAAAAAATCTCGTAGATGCGTGATCTCCGATTAAGTGCGCTCCGTCTATCGTGACAAGAAGAGACTGTCTCATCTTCGGAAGAGAGTCGACGCACTCTGGAAAATCGATTTCTTACGGGCAGAAGTCTGCGAAATTTACGGCATCATGTTTCAATGCATCATCCAGCAGAGGAACGGTTGGATCCATCCCTACACTCCCGACACCAAAGATGTTTTCCCAGGTATATACCATAAAACGAAAATCTCTTAATGCAAATAAGTCTTACAGATTATATTTCATTCTAGAAGTCTAGAGGCTACATCAGAAATCAGGAAATACGACTTAAGTTTTGAAGAAAAGATTAATACATTAACTATAAGTGATAATAAAAATTTTCTATATAATTTCTATATATATATAGAGCACTGTTTAGTAAAATATTTAATATTTGAATATATTAACATAATACGATAATTGGTATATGGTCATAAATGCATTATGTGCCAAATATTGCGTATTTACATTTTATATTTTCTTACAGATCTACATTATTCAAGTGTATCACAATTTTTTAAGATGTTTATTAATATCTGTATAATTAATTCGTGATATTTTACTATCCTAGTTTAGGATTGCGTTTCAAGATCGAAAATTATGTCAACATGCAATTTACAGAATTGGATATAAATTCACATCGCGCGAAATATTATTTATGCATCAAAAATTCTTATCCCGACTGAGACTTTCTTATTATTTCATTCTTTATTCATTTACTGCCTAATGATATTTATTGTTATTTTAGCGTTTCTTGTTGAACCATTATATTGTATTTCCCTCAGCTATTTAATCCGAGCTTTCTTTTTACATTTGGAATTATAATAAACGAATTGTATTTTACAAGAAGGAATTTTCATCATCATATCATTAGAAATTTCATTTTCATATCATTCGAAATTAAACTTTTTATTGCAAATCTTTTTATAAAGAATTATCAGAACGTGTCAGAGCCTTATACACATAAATTTACGGAATGGTGATTAATATTTTCGATTAAAGGCTATACAAAATCACTTGTACACTATGCGTAATGTCATATACGAGTACAATTATACGATACGAGAGATTGTAAAAAAAGGTATTCAACAAACATTGCAGAATGGGGATGCGGGCATTCGTTATAGCTTTAGAATTTCTGACAGCGAGTGGAATAGTGGAATACACGAGGGAGCGTATGACGCATAGAAAAACGCTGTAAGTTAGAAGATAACTCGCGCACGAGATAACTACTGTGGTCAGTAGCTAGCAAAGCGGAAAAAAGGGGGAAAAAATATGCTCGAGTACAGGGAACGTCGGTACGTAGAGCCCCGCGATAAAAAGAGTTTCACAATGTCCAGTCACCGATAGCTAATTTCACCGATAATTACCGGTTAGTAATCGGTAAACGCCAACAGACTCATGTTTGTGTTGACGAAACGCGAAGGTTCAAGAAGGACAGAACGACTACACTCGATGCAAATTAGAATGCAGAGAAATCATGAGTTCCTCGATAAAACGCTTTGAAGCTTTTTATTTCGCGTTCAATTAACATCCCATTACTTTCAGTGTATCTCGGCGATATTCAATACACTCAAATCCTATTATTAGATAATTAGATACAATTGTGCGCGAAGAAGCAATATCAAAGTGCTTTAATTCTTTGCTGCTTTAATTCTTTGGTGGAGAGTTCTGAAGCACGTCAAGAATAGACTTCTTTATTTTTAAATTGTATGTATACATCGCAAAGGCATGGTTTCAATATTACGAGTATGTGAGTTTATCCCGATGCCGTATGTAATTTTACAATCGATTTTACAGTAAATTTAGAGTCGCGATTTTCTTCATAAATCTATGTATATCGCTAATTTGCTAAAATAATTAACGATATAATTTAAAAATTGTCACTTTAGTTTCTTGCAAAAAAAAAATGGGGAAACAAAAACATAAAAAAGGAAATATAAAATACTATTAAAAAAAAGAACATATTTCTATTCCTTTACAATGAATTGTTGTGAAATCAAAATTTATATTACAAAATTTTTATCAAAAATATTCAAACTTATTTTTTGGCCAACTTAGTTTTTTCATTATGCCATTGCAAATGAGTGATATCTTTAGCCTGAGACTCTTAATAGAAACTTGATTGTATACGAACAATGCATGTTACAGAATTAGACAAAAGTCGTATCGGTACACAAATTGGTAGTGCTGCTTTTTTACACTTCAAAATGTTCTATACATATAAAAAAAAGCAGCGTCGCATGTTTGTATCTAGCCGCTGTATTGTTTACTATTCTTTTACTATTTACTGCTGCAACGTTTTTTAACGGTGCACGCATACGATTCAAAAGGGACGCGGAACATTTCGGTCGATAAACGTGCGTGCACGACGAAACTCGACGCCAAAACAGGAAGCCGTTAAATTGACACGTCGACGAGGAGGAGGGAGGTGCGTGTGTTGCGTCGCGTTTCCTCCACGGCCGTGTGTAACGATGCGACACATATATACATTAATTATACATACGCTTGTACAAAGGATCATTACTGGCGCTTCTAGCTCTTAATTCTCAGGAAAGACGGAAGTAGTACAAAAATTATTACACTACTTTATCAACTGCAAGAGACACCGTGATTTTTTACAAAATTGTTTAATACAAAATTGTCAATCTCTTTTCTAAACGGATTTTAAAACACCTTTAAAAATAAACGAAAATGAATTTTTAAATTATCAATTAAATTAAATAATATAATCCTTAATTTGATTTCCCTCTATTTTCCTTTTTGTTCTTATTGCAAAAATGTTGGATTATTGTGTATACAGATAATGTGTGTCCTCGGCTTGAAAGAGATAAAAATAAATTATCTTAAATAGATTATCTTAAATCTTTGCGATAATCTTTTGCATTATCTTTCAAATATTCGAATCAGTGCGTGATTACAATAAGCCAACTTATGTACTTTTGGAAATCTTTAAAAATTTCATCGAATAGTAAAATATAATACGATATAAATAAACAAGAGCAATAATAACATTTTTTTATTTATATTAGATTTATTTAAATGCATGAAATTAAATAAATCTGAATTAATTAATAAGATAAAAAAATACTTGATCGACATGCGAGAGAAATAGTTTAAACAGAAGGTTTTTTTTTGACGGGGGGGGGAGGGAGAGA